CTTGATGGAGGGAATTGAGCTCATCCACAAGTATTGGCTCAATGTGTCTCTACAGAGCCAGCCTCCAGTTCTCATTGTATTGGTGAGACTTGTGCCACCATGACACCGGGGAAGGACATTACCTTCCTACTGGCAAATGAGATGCAAATGACTCTGACTTTTCAACAATTTTATTAATTAACACTAAATGGGCTCTGACCTCTGTGTCATGATCAGATGCTTGAGGTTAACTCCTAATACCTGGCCCCTGAATCTCACTTTCAGTGAGAGGAGTCTATGACCCTGAAGTAAAAGTCTACACATTGGGTCAGTTCACCCCTTGGGCCAGTGTAGGAAGGGAATAGAAGTGGACCTGCCTTTCAGGACCCTCGAGGAAGGGGTAGGAGGCAGAGTGGGACATCGTGGCAGGAAGGAGGGAAACAGGGGCTTCTGTCTTGAGGCTGCTGCCTCTGAAGGCCTGATGCCTGTCTTCACGGGGTTGTGGCTCTGATGGAAGATCCGGAATTTGGAGTTGAACGTCAGTATTGGCAACAGCCCTGGTAGGGCCTATTCTGATTGCAGCAGTCATGCCATATTTGCGTCGTTTGTTGATCCAGTACAGCAGGGGGCTGTAACTGAATGTGGCAGCTCTCATCACCTCCACCCACTGCTGGGCACGCTCCCTCCTCTGCAGGTTCTTCCTCCAATGTATTAAGAGGATGCAGCCACCAGTTATCAGAGTGCACATCCCCAAAACTCCGAAGTACCATGGGATCCATGCTGAGGCAGTAAAAAAAAGAAAAGAGGCAAGCTGACTGACAGCTCTAGCTTGGGATCTGAACTGTTTCTCATTCCTCTCCTGAATTTGGCTCATTCATCCTCTCATTCTTTCCCACCCTTATCAAAGACATGCCTAATAATTTCCTGATTCAGTCAAAGGTATATTTGCAGGGCACATAAGGGTCCCCATTAGCCTTTTATAGATAAGGAACACTAGATGTACAGGGGCCATGACCTGCCCAGACTCAAGTCAGGCCTTCTGGCTCCCAGTCCAAGACTCATGCAGTCATTCAGACTGAGAAGCCTCACTAAGAGCAAGGACCTCAATTGTATCTTTTCTGCTTGGGCAGCACATGGTCTCTGCCTTTTAGGAGTCCTTAGTCTCCTAGAGGAGCCTGTCTCTTAACTACATAGCACTCCATTCAGGCAGCTGCCACCCCATCCATGCAGAAGGTCTTCCCTGAAAGTTTGTCCCCCACACTCAAAAGGTCTGGGTGTACTTACAGCCAGGGAGGCCCAGGTCCTCCTTTTGTGAATCCATAAGGTTCATTCTGGTTACCAAGCCTATGGCTCTGAAAAGAGTGAACTCACCACTACTCTGCCCACCAATAGGAGTCCCCAGAAGGCCCCAGTACCATTGTTCTCTGAAGATGAAGTCACCAGGTTCTCAGCATTAGGAATTCTAGGGCTGGTGCTGGTAGAGTGGTTGGCAGTTGATGGAATAAGGGACTCCATCTTGTGACATCTCATGAGCATGTTGTATTCCATGAAAGACTGGTCCACCATAGAATTGTCTGTACCCAACTGTGTGTGGTAAACTCACAGGGAAGCCCCCAGGAAGGGGCCTTCATACCCTCAGGAGGTTCTACTTGTGTTTTCAGTAGTTAGGGAGCCATTCACCAGTGGAAAGTGGGGCAGGGAGGACAGTGAGCATTGGACAGCCCTAACCTCAAGAAGTGTCCTACCTAGTTGTCAGGGAACAAAAGGGCTCAGAAGAACCATGTGGTCCAAACCTCCTCCTTTGGCTCCTATCATCTCTTTTTTGTTTTATCAAAAGAGTTTTTTGGACATCATCAGGGCCTATGAGAGCTCCCTGCTATGTGATCCTGCTTCTCTTTCCAGCTTCAACTCCCTCCCCATCCTTCACATACCTTTCAGCCCTGGGCATGCCAGTTCCCACAGACCCTGCTTATTCCCCTCTGGACTTTGGCTCAGACTGCTCCTTCACTCAGGAGTGTCTCTCACACATTTCCACCACTGAACACCTCCTTATCGGGCCAGGTGGTCAATTCCCCAACTCTGAGACAAATAGTTCTTTCAGTTGAGTCCACAATTTCTAGAACTCTGAAGCAGATGAATTTAAAACAAATTGGTCCCAGGGACAGGAATCAAAGTGATTTCAACAAATTTAAACTTGTATAAAGTGGAAAATATATAGTGTTCTACAGATTTTTTTATTGTTGGTTGTTCAAAACATTACATAGTTCTTGACATATCATATTTCACACTTTGATTCAAGTAGGTTATGAACTCCCATTTTTACCCCGTATACAGATTGCAGAAACATATCAGTTACACTTCCATTGATTTACATATTGCCATA